GTGTTTGTCACCTCAGTAGTTACCTAAATACTACATCTCAACCCATAGATGGTACAGGTACTCTTCACATAACGACATACCAGTTAATGTTGTTTTGTTATTATGTCACTGATCTATTAGAGAACATACTCATCTAAAGTCGCACAGTGTTCAGTTATAACGCTATTTGGCCGCCACCTCCTAGTAGAGAAACTACTGTGGCATAGTTGGATTTGCTTAACATCGTTTTGCTTATCACTTTTTTCAAAAATGTAATTACCATGTTAAGTGAGGAGTAGCTGTAATTCCAGCAGCACATCTCAAATACATGAGTGGGTATTGATTATTGCAGTTGTATATGGACAGTGGGATTGAGTGTGTGCTTAGCAAATTTGAGGACAACACCAAGTTGTATAGAGTTGCAGATGTTCCGCGTATTGTCCAGAATGACCTGGATAGACTGGATAAATTATCCAGAATTGATCACGTGAGATTTAACAGGGGCAAGTCTTGCACTTGGGATGGAATAATTGTGTGCACAAATATAGACTGGAGTATGACCGACAAGGCTGCAGTAGTGTGGGGAAGGACCTGGTGTTATTCTGGGCCATAAACTGAATAGGAGACACACAAGTGTTCCTATTGCAAGAAAAACCAACAGTACAGTATGCTGGGTTGCATTAATAGCAGTGTCACTTACAAATCAAGGGAAGTGATTCTTTCAGCACTTGTAAGGCCTCGCGTAGAGTACCAGTGTTCAGTTTTGGGCCCTGAACTTCAAGAACGATGTGGATAAGTTGGAATGAGTCCAGTGGAGTGACAGAAATGATTAGGGGCTTGAGAAGCATGACTTAGAATTAGGAAAAGCTGACAGAATGAGGGTTATTTAGTTTGGAGAAGAGAAGATTGAGAAGGGATTTAGTAACAGTCTTCAAACACCTGAAGGGTGATTATATAGAGAGAATGGAGAGAAACTGTTCTGTGTGGCCATACAGGACTACACGATGAGAAATGATCTTAAGGTGATGCAGAGGAAACTTGCGTTGGAGATTAGGTAGAACTTCCTGACTATAAGGGTGGTCAGGCATTGGGACAGGCTGCCTAGACAACCTGTGGATCTCCATTCCTGGAAACTTGAGAGCAAGTGGTGCAAGC